TGTTTTCCATAGATTTTTCATTACACCTGATGGCTTCTCCAAGGAAATAAATTTGTACCTGTAAAAACCCGTCCAGTAGGGGCAGGTGTTTCTGAGCCCACACCTTGTAGGTAAAGCATCAGAGGAGGGGTGGCACAGAGGGATCCTAAAGTGCCCAAGACAGGTTCAAGCTCGCTGTGTTTGGGCAGCATTATTTGAAACCAAAGTGCTCTGCAGCTGCTCCAAGCCTGGAGGTCACAGAAACAAAACAAGCTCCCCCCTCCTGCCTCACTTTGTGCCTTCTCTCATCAAGGGAGAATCACATCATGCAAAAGATAATAGAGAAGAAGGTCACAGCAGTCCAGTGCCCCCAGGACGGCTGGCACCAGGCTCCATTCCCTCCTCTGGCTGATGGAACTTAAACCCAGGTGTTCTGGGATTTGAGGAGCAAAGCCCAGCTTTGCCACTTGCTGTTCCAATCTCTCCCACGTTCGCCGAGCAGGAATCTTGCTGGGTTCCCATATTACATCCCAAAGCAGCAGCCCTGGAGTACTGCTGGAACCCAGAACACCCTCCCCTTCTCAGACACCAACCTGACTAGTCAGCCTCACACTCCTCCAAGGGCAGGAAAACCACAAACCAGTAAAAAAATGGATATTTTACACCAAACAGGACCCATTTCAGAGGTCAAATACCCCACACTGCGTTCCTGAGCATTCCCAAGGCTTTTGGACAGGGAAGTAAAACTGCACGCATGAAGCACCATTTCCCTTGTACCAACACCCTCCATAAAACCTCCCACATAAAAGCCCAGGTGTTCGTAACATCCTCAGGAACACACTGCACAGAAAGGATCAGGTTCCCTGGTACAAGAGCCACAGCAGAACCTCTGGCATAAAGGGCCATTTCCCTTGTAACAACACCCTCAGTGAAACTTGCCAGATGAAGGAGCAGGTCCCGTGTGACACCAGCCTCAGTGCAGCAGTAAGCACAGCCTTTATCCGGAACTCACAGAATCAATGCCCGCGGCAAGAAAAACACGGGATTTTGTGGAACCGGGGAATGGAGGAGCTCTCCTGTCCCAGCTCTGCCTCCTCTGCCTGCAGCAAGGCAGATACAGCTCTCAGACAGAAGATCACTTCAGTTCAACATCACCAAATCACCTGGCAACACTGACTGTGAACCCCAAAGTCCCAGTGCTGTCTCCTGTTCCTGTTTCCTAAGGCAAAACACACAGGTGGGCTCAGGGGAAAAATGTAAAAAAAAAACAAAAAAAAAAAAA